TTGATGACAGTTTTACTTTTACTACGACTAGAGCCTTTGCCTTAGTCGCTCTATCTTCCTCTGTGTAGTTCTACACCTAGCGGGGCACTGACTACCACTGCAGATTAGTAAACTCCGTACTGATTGACCAGTACGTAGTCACCGGTGCCCCGTTACAAGATGAGTACGTACATCCAAAGAGGTGGGATATCGACGAACTCTCACTTGACTGTTCTGCAGTGACCTCGACACTTCGCACAATGTCTACACCGTAGACGATCACTTATGGAGCAGTTTCGGTCAATAGCTTTACGTCCGTAGCTTGATCTAACGGCTGTCGAGTGAGCTTCATTCGTGTACTCGATACTCGGACCACGAGAATGATATGTTAGGAGAGGGAACGAGGAGGAGTGAAGGGAATGACGAAAATGCGTACGATGCAAAGCAAATTGATGTCAACCAGATCTTACCGAGACATATTGTTGAACATAAGTCAGAAGGCTGCGCGCCACTGACGCTTTATCGTCCATCTTGGTGTAGGCAAGTTTGTCCTTTCATCAGCGATACTTTTGACGTCGAGAGTTTGAGGACGCTTAGCAGCAAATTATCTCGTTGTCCATCACAGCCCCATCATTACTTTTTATAGTAGCAATGGTCTTGCTCAAAGTCGATTTTTTGTAGGATCAAACAGATCATTCAGTCATGTTGACCGGTTGTTAGCAGCAAAAACAGAAGATGGGTTGCTTGCGGCAAAACTGCATGACATTCCTATCGTGAGCGGCCAATTGTCCATAGAAAGTATGCCCGGGAGAGCTACATGTAGCGCGGTAAGAAAAGAATTGAGACAATGACATGTAGAACTCGAAAAGGATGTTCAAGTCTTGACATCTTATCATCTTTGAAGCAGAGCTACCACAGTCATAGTATCAGAGAAAGTCACGAACACCAAAAGTCTCGTGACTCAAAAAGATATAACGGGAGGATGGGAGCAAATTCACCCTTATTTCGTAATCCGGTAGCAACAGAAATAATAATTGAAAGCACAGAAGAGTCAAGAGTCCTTGATCCTTTGCACGGCAAACACGCTCCTGATCAAACGTGAACTGATTCATCATATAGGGCAAATGACGACGATAATGAACCTCAACGACGTTCATCAATGTAATGTGTAACGACAGCTGCATCCTGCCAGAGGTCGCGTCTGATTTTTTGTCGGCCATTTGATTGACACAGCGAAAGATCGGGATCAATTTGTGACAGCAACTACAACATTTCGCAGCGATGGCTATTCGCCACTGAAAGGCAGCTGAACTAAGATATTCCGACTGACAAGTGGCGAGGACTGCAAGATCAGTATGACATGTGTGGACTCTTCACGACTCACGAAGCTTTCGTATCGCCTACAAACGGGCCAAGATGTATCAGCGATACGACATCGCTGCATACTAACACTCCAACAATACGAGGTGCTGCGACGCAGTTGCCGGCAACGCGTTGCGCCATCAGTAGAACGTCTTAGTATGGCAATTCGTAAAGCACGGAATCCCTCGGCTTTGAAATGGCGGTCAATGATAGCAGACAGAAGTGATGTGTAGACAACTCATTGAAGTTGTTGAATTCAGACTTTCACACGTCACGAAAATAGATTCAGTATTGCATGCATATCCTCCACCTACACCCTTGCATCCAAGCCGTGCTTTTATATACACTTGACGCATCTTGCTATCGATGCAAACGTTGTGTTGGTTGCTAGCTGCTGACAGGTCGCAGCTACACTGGTTTGCTATAATGAATGCAGCCGTCCGACCCTGTCTTGAATGTCCATAAATCCACGAACGTGTCAATACTGATTACGGAAATGGTCACGGGTGCCAAGCTCTTGCACATGCCTCGGTGATGATGAATCCACGAACTCCTATACCTCTTGCCAATGGCTCATGTATGCTTCACCGAACGTCAAGTGCAACGTAGCACTCATCTTTGACTCAACGATTTGTACGCACTTCATAACGCGCACCATGTGCGAGGATGCCGTACATGCTCTAAGTGCGTAGCATTCTCCTGTCTAGTGACATGTGAACTTCGACCAGCAAGTGTGTCCACGAATTGTCCAGAGGATGCGCTCTGTTGGCCCCTTTGCTCCACCGAAGCACTGTAGCTTTCGACAGCTGATGTTACTATCGCCTCAGAAGAATAAGAGATCAGCTACCGCACTGCCACCCGGCAGATGGCCCACACCTGTCACTCCGTGGGACGAAATAGTTCTGGTGCCCGTTGTGACGCTGCAACCTGACACAAGCCGTCTCGTGCTGTGTCCACGACGTTCGCCAAAGCTATGACTTCCTGCGCTTCGTGTACCTTGAAACCAGCGGAACGGTGTATCGATATAGTCAGAAGGACAGTTGGATGTACCCTAGAGTCAGGCACGTGTAGCAAGATCTGTGGATGAGCAAATGCGCATAGAATACAACGCTTCTCGCACCTCGGCTCTGGCAGTCGGCCGCCGCCTGCTGATCCTCTCTATCAGACGTCGATATCGGTCAGTTGCGCTATGTGACGCTGTGACAGACTCCGTCGGACTTGTAGCCTGTCGACGATGCCTCATCCTCGTCCACCCATTACGTCCGCAAGTCCCCAGCGTTGCATCTTTGCTTGTTATCGCGTGGCCGATACCTCTTTCCCTAGTGTCCTCGTATGAAAAAGAAGACCGCGAAAGTGGCCCAGCAAGCGTCAACTCCCGCTCCTTCGGTACGAACCGTCTGACTGTTTCTACATTCAGACTCACGAGCTTTGCAGTGCACTGCTACTTTCATCTTTCCAGATACGGTAACGTAGAGGATAGCCACAGATACATCGATCCAGTTACGTCTCGCCCGGGCAAATTATCAGGAGCCGGAAGTTCAAATAGTGCCACTTCGACTGACGGACTCGTCCCCCGACAGTGAAAAGCCTCTCTGCATAAACGCAACAGTCCTTTACTGCCCTCGTTTGCCACAAACATCGACCGTCGTGCGTCTCGTGACTACAAAGATCTCAATTTCGAGAGCAAAAGACCCACCAGCGACGACGAGTGGACAACCCGACCAGACGACCCCCCGCCTGATTCGCCTCTTCATTCTTCCTTACGCCCTACGCAAGTATGACCGAAGCGCCGATCGTCGTGCTCGTGCGCATCTTGGCCACCCTAACTGCCTGCCTCTTGTTTGCGAGTTTGTTACCCGCCATCCGCGTCGTGCATCGTCGGCAAAGCACGGCAAGTATGCCGAGTGCGCTCCCGATTCTGTCCATGGTGGCCAATTGTGTATCCTGGGGACTCTATGGTCTGCTCATCCACGACTACGTCCCTCTAGTGGCTACGAACGCCGTGGGACAAGTCCTGTCGCTCTTCTACCTTGTTGTGTACTACTACTACGAGACGAACAAATGTCGATTGAGTCTCGAGATTCTCGCCATGACGATTGTGCTCGCACTGCTCGTGCTCTTCCCCTTCGTTGCTGCCCACGAAGGCATGAGCGCCGAGTCGGTCGAAGCCATCATTGGCAGCTTCTCAGTCGCTGTCTCCGCCGTCATGTTTGGCTCGCCGTTAATTTTGGTCAAGAAGGTGGTCCAAGAACGCAATACGGACTACTTGCCGCTGACGATGATCAGTGCAGGAGCCGTCACTTGTGTCTTGTGGCTCCTCTATGGCCTCCTGCTCGGAGACGCGTTTGTGATCGTGCCGAATGCAGCCAATTTCTTCATCAGCGTCGTGCAGCTTGTACTATTCTGCATCTACCCACGCGGAGCAGAGTACAACACGATTGACTCTGCGACTCCCGAAGCAAAAGCCACAACGCTGGCAAAAAGTGATGGATCGTGTAAGATAATCGTGCAAGCCAAGAAAACAAAGGACGATGATGCTACGGAAATCGATATGGAAGACACACACAGTTGCGTTCATGCGGTAGTCGAGTCTACCGATCCAGTTGCACTCGAGCGTGGGCCACCGATTGAAGGCCCTGAATGCAAAGAAGCTTTCCGTGAAGCCTAGCTGCACCAGCCCAGCTCATTGGCACCCAGCGCTGCAGCTTTCGATTGTTTACACTTACTTACCCCACGCCCGCATCATACGAGTATTGGGAGATGCATTCCACGATGTCTAAGCGACAATCTGTATAGGACGCGATGTCATAAGGTACCACTGCGCTCATCGAAACGAAGTTCACATTGACGAAAGTACTAAAGAATACACATTAACTGCCAGTCTGCTGCTCTTGTCGTGCTACAGCTGCTCAAGATTTGTTTGCCGCGAAAGCAGTCAGCAAGTGCTGCTCGTACCTGCCGTCTCGGAATCTGGCGGTAGGCTAAAGTCACGCACTGCAAGCTTGAAGGTCCCCGAAGCATGTGCGAGTATTTCTTCATCTTCGTAGAGACAAGTAGACGATCGACCAGCGTGACACACGATATCGACGGATGCTACGATCTATGGACCCCATTGATAATCACATCGCTTCTTCGATCTACAGTCGAAATCGCGGTACACGAAGACCGCGTGTGCATTGTTCCCTCGATTGTTACAAAAGTCGAAATTGCTGGCCGCGAACGACGCCGAATGGAGGCATTGCATGTCGACTGCTGATGTTTATTGTTTTGTGAATTGTTGTTTGGGCACGGAATGGAAACATACTACAAATGATTGCAAAAGCTAATCACTTTACGCCAGTGCTGTATTCGTTATCTCCGTGGCGCGCATCACTGAAATAGTCAAAATCGGGCGTCGTTGCCTTGAGCACTCTTGATGCAGTTTTTTAACACGCGTGTCTTTCGTATGCCAGTAATAGTGTTTGGAAGGTTTACGTAGTGACTCGCTTGCCGCGCATTAGCTCTTCAGTGATGGCTCCGTCACCATATGGACAAATGCTTCACAGGCAGATTGCAGACAAGTCGCCGCACAGGCCACACTACCAATATGAAATTTCCTGATGCAGTCCTTATCAGTGCGATCGATTATGACGGGGTGAGCCCGTTACATACAGTTGATACGAATGTATCAATTTTCGGGTATTACCGATTTCGATAACACTCAATCAACATCACTCGAGATGAAATGATGTTGGATGAATGTTACCCCCTAGGGTGATATTCTTGGGTGCCCCACTTCTTGGTCGATTAACCGTGTACATCAGCCGTTTTTAACAACAATCGCTTCTGAAAGGGCGCAACGGGTGTTGAGTAAGAGACACATTTAAAAGATTGTAATTTAATATAGTCAGGTCAAGACGAACAATAATTTACAAAAAAAATAACTAAATCAAATAACAGTTCAAATTTCCCCCTCAAACAGAGCGTCTGAGTTCTGTATACTTCGCTGTGCTTCCTCGCCACGTGTTCGTGACGTCGGGTGCACGCAACCTTGTGTTTGATTGACACAAGGGCGTGCCCCGTTACACCTGGTAGCACGTTGTAGTCCTTCCAGCGACCACTACCACCTCATTCAGCATGAGCGTGTTAAATGAGATGGAAACCTTCCATGCCACGCGTGAAGACTTTAACCATTTGAGTAACATCGATTGAAGTGCGGTGGAACGCGTGAGTTCTATCATAGGCGAAACTGCCATTAGCGCCATGTTGGAGTCTCTTGAAAGAGACCAACAACATGTCACCATAGCCAAATTCATTCAAAATGAACTTGTCGCCGAAAGAGAAAAAGTGACTTTGCTTCACCAGCAAGGATCTCAACATGCCGATCGCTTTCGAGAGATTGGTGCTCGACAGACAGAGCTGTTGAGACAGCATGAATTTAATGCTGCTGTGAGTGAAATGACACCCACGCGTCGTCCTGATCCTCGAAGGTTGATATCTCCAAATATAGAGGGTTCGAGTAAGACTTCATGTTCTTGGGGTTTGTCGAACTAGACAGAGCCATATAGGCGCGCCGTATCGGCGATGAGCAAATAAAACTCATATTGTCGCTTTGCGCCCTAGTCGTATGTGGGGCTTTAGGCAACTTTGTTCGTCGCCAGTCACTAGAGGGTCGTAGGCTCAAGTTCATTGAGCGCGACATCCCTCGAACGAGTATGATGGTGCGCATTGCTACAGGCGCATCGATTTCCGTTAAGAAACGAGTAGTTGGAATCAACTACACGCTAGAGGGCGAACAGTACGATGATGATTTTATCGCACTGGATCTGAATGACAAATTCGATGTCATCCTGGTATTACCTTGGCTCAGAGGGTACGAGCCAAGAGTGATCTGACAGAATCGATCCGAGATGATGCCTGCCGCTTGTTCATCATATGGCCATCTGATGAACGTCTGCTGCGTCCATAGATGTGTGGATGTACTTCGAGCAAGTGCGATGGCTTCACGTGCGGTACGGCCGCTAGCACGACTGCACCATAATTCAGTGTAGCTGATCACTACACTGTGAAGTAGATCCCAGCGACTGTACAGAAGCGCAGGCAGCGCCGAAGACCCACCTCTCGAATAAGTCGAGTGGAAAGGGACATATATGCACGTCTAGCGGGCAACATCCTAAGAAGAACAAACCGTTTGTCCAGAAACGAAAACGCGGTTACTCGGGTCAATTAGGTCGTCGACCATAGAGGATCGGTTCCTTACTGGGGTGGCACATCCACAGTCCGAAGAAGTCGAGGAAAGTTTGTTCCCAGTGCTTGAGGAAAAAATTACTGAGGAATTTCTTGATGCGATAATAGGCTCTAAGCAATCTGAGCGGACAAGATCTCAGTAGCCTGCGGAAACAAGTTCTTAAGACGTGATTAAGACGTTGAACGTCTTGGTCAATGACGGATTAAAAGTAGGCGCTTATACGCTGATCTGATTGTGCCTCCGAAGTTAAATACGGAGATAACTCAATTTCCAACTCTGGAAACAAAACTGTTTAAACGTGATTTGCGTAGTGGTAAAGTCAAGCAGATCTGCATACTCGGCACAGATGAATTTGTGGCCGATATTCGGTCGGCAACAGTCTATTCCGAGAATGAGAGGGTTCCCGGCAGCTCATCGATGGTTAAAAGTATCCTCGACGAAAAGGCTCTTATCAAACAATACACGTCGTACCCCTGCTGGTCGCTCCAGGCAAATCCTTTGTGTAAGAATTTATTCGAATTCAAGGATGTGTTCCCGAAATCAGTATCATACGAGTTGCCTAAGAATAAAGTCTTTGGACATGAGACCAAGCTGTTTAACAAGTTAAAAGCTGCAACGGTACCGGCTCAGACGCCGATACCGAGGAAGGTCTTTATCATAGACGGTTTGTCAAATAGTACCATATTCTCGTCCATGGATCTGATGGATGGCTTCTTTCCGATCTTCATGCGTGAAAGGGATATCCCGTACACGGGAGTAACCACCCCAAGCGGTATGGTGTGGGAGTAGCTATTCATGTCACAGGGGCTAAGCAATGCCCCTGCAAAGTTCAACAGGTGTGTTATAGATCTGTTGAGATCACATCGAGATTTTGCACCGAGTTATTTTGACGATGAGCTCGTCCATAGCCAGTCTATGGACGGAACGACGGACTTGGTGGTTTCCAGAACACGCCTTCGCCAGGTTCTACAAAAATGCGCAAGCATAAGCTAAACGACAACCTCAAGAACAACATTTTTCGCGGCTAGCGCAAACAACTTTTTGGTTGTATCGTGGGCAAGCACGGCGAACGCCCTGACCGTTTAATGATCAAATCAATCTCATACAGGCCAGCAACAGTCAATATCAGGATACTAAGGAAGTTTATTGCCTTAGCATTGCACCTGCGACACGTAGATCAATGACGCCGAGCAGACCGTTCATCTTTCCCATTATCGCAAAACCAATTTTTGGATGGCAATGGAAGGCTGACTGTTAGCGTTGTTGTGAAGGTATCAATCAGATCTTGATGCGATCGTCTATATTATCTATTACGGACCCGGACAGATCATTCCTTGTGATATTTGATACAGCGGTTACGAAATGGAATGTGTATTGATACAGCATGAAACAGACGGCGCAGAGCGTACCGGCTGATATTAGTCGGGTCGGCTGCAACCATCATAATGCAACCGTCCAGGCCTTGACAGGGAACTCGATTCTATTAAATATGCACTGGCTAAGTTTCGTGTCTATATTTTTGAAGATAGACCCCTCATCGTCTTAATGGACCATGCGTCACTACTAACGGCCGCAAACAGTCCACACCTCTCGCAAAGAATGGCAAGGTGACTGTCATTTTTGGCGGAGTTCAATTTTTACATAGACTGTAGACCAGGACGACGGAACGTCATCGATAATGCATTTTCGTGCCTACCCGATTTCGATCTGGGCGCGCAATCCAACAGTGCGGACGTGCCCCATGTTGTGACACTCACAATTATTGTCTTGCATTCAACATCATTTAATGACGTAACACAGGACTACGCACAATAAGCGTATAATTTGCGCTTGATGGATAATTTGGTGAATAGAAAAGTCGTAAAACGTTGAAAGAATCATCAACCTTGTACTTTTCTTCGTCGGATCGGTACAAAACACGCAACGGGTTGCTGTACTATACATCTGTATCTGGCTCATCTTTGTGTCGTCATCCCCGATCAAAACAACTTTCGCCTGCGCACAGTGTATGAGTCTCACGATGCCCCAACAGGTGTCCATCGTGGTAGGGAAAAGACTTACCGTAAGGTATGTCGTCACTTTTACTGGTCCCGCCAGTATCAGTTTTTGCGCAAGTACATTCGTTCTTGCGAGGTTTGTCGACGGTGGAAGTCTAGTCCTTCATCCCGTGCACCCTCATAGTCTCTACCTTCTCCGTCAGAGTGCTGGCATTCCGTTCCATGAACGTCATCATCGCTTTCTCCGAAGACGCTCACAAGAACAATGGGATTCTTGTGTTCGTGGAACGGTTTGAAAGTAAGGTAAATCTTGCTGCATTGCTCGTGCCGATCATTGCACACGGAAGTGCTCGTGTCTTCATCAACACATTATTTTGACTTTAACCGTTGCCTCGTGAACTCGTGTCCGACCGTGGCCCTCTATCTATTGCAAAGTTATGGAGA